AAAGTCGTAAAAGCTAGATTTGTTACTGAGCTTCGTTTTGGCGTTATATTTGCAAAGGAAAATGTTAATATAGTAAGTTCTATACAGATCGTGTCCATTATACTATTAAATAGATTGGTAACTTGTTTGTCGTACGAGTTTACCGATGTCATCAAAATTTATAGCAGTATATCAGCTTTTGGTATTTTGAAAAATCCAATTAAATTTACGAAATGCCGATTCCATTATCGGCAAGCTAAAAAATGGCCTGAGAGATAAAAGATAATTTAAAACATAAATATGAAATTTTATTTGTAAAGTTTAAATTAGCACAAATTCCATTTCTATTACGGCATCAAATATATAGATATATATATATGTGTGTAGATTGAGAAACTGTAGTAATATACTGTCTGCTGTATGGCAGAAATATAACATTTTTTTTTAAGGAAAACTATTTATGCGTATTAGCTAAGGATAGAACTAAAATGACCAGCGCTTCTCATTCCTATCTTAAAACTTGTCCCTTTTACAAAATAAATATTACTGTGTGTCAAAAAAATAAATGGTGATATAAAAAAACATGGAAACCCGCCTATGTTTCTTTAGACAGATTTTTATAAACAGAGACAGATACTCGATCAAGAAGGCATGGAAAATTATGTCTTTTAAAAATTTCTCGATGGGCTAAAGGGAGATTAATCTTTTTCTTTATCTGCTAGTGAGAAATTGTTACTTTTATCTCATTGCACATGTGAAGAGACCAACACTTTTCTTCTCTCTTAAAACACAGAAAGCAACTTTTTAACTTTCTATTTTCTGACTGACTTCTGACTACACATTCAAGTCAGTTTCTTCTTAATCGTTCTAATTTTTTATCCACCCCCATTTCCTGATCAAAATGCAGCAAACACCTCTGATCCCCAAATGGATTTTCAATGGCCTGAATCCGACCGTTTTTTACCAGGTTCGATGAACTCAACACAGCAGGGTTTTTTTTAAGTAGCACATAAAAAATTGAATATGTCGATTACAGTCGTTCTTGCGTTAAAAAAATCCAATTCGCCATTTTTGTACGGCTGGTGTATGCGCATGCGTGAGTTTTCAACAAATGTAATGACTTTTCAGAAATTACGAAACTGTCAGCTGCTGTAAATATTGCAATATAAAGACCGTTTTGGTTGATCTGGGAGACGAAGCGAGGGAATTGATCATCATTTGAAAAAAAAGCCAAGCGCTGAATCGCAAGCAGATGATGACGATGCGCTCTATCCACGTGACTTGAATGATTGCATCTCGGGAAAAAAAAAAAGTTCTTCATATAGAATCAAAGAGAAAAAGAAGAAAAAGTTAAATATAATTTTTATTTTTTTTATCGGTTCGCCTTCTTTTTCTTTTCTGCTTTTTTTTTCTAATTTTTCTTCTTTTTAGGTTTCGTTGTTCATCTTTTTTCCTTCGTATTTCCTTCTTTTTTTCTCTCTTTCTATTTTTCTTGGTTTCTTCTTAATTCCTTATACTTTTTCTTTTGCATTCATTCTTTTTCTCTCTTTCTTTTCTTTTTCACATTCTCTTACTTTTTTCTTTCTTTTTCTTACTTTTTTCTTTTTCTTTATTTTCTTTTACTCTCTTTTCTTTGCTTTTTCTCTTTTTCCTTTCTTTTTTAATTTCTCTTTCTAAAACTTTGTTTTATTTCTTCTCTTTTTTTTATTTCGTCTTTTCTTTTCCGTTTATCGATTCTTTCTCTTTTTTGCTTTCTTTCTTACTTTTATCTTTCGAATTTTTCTTTGTTCTTTTTTCTTTTGCTTTTATTGATTCCCTGTGTCATTCTTCCATCCTATTTTTTATCGATTTTTCTTTCTTTTTCTTTAATCCCTCATCTTTTTATTTCTTTTCTTTAATCTCTCATATTTGTCTTTCTTTTCTTTAATAATTCATCTTTTTCTTTGTTTTTCTTTTAATCTCTCATATTTTTTCTTTCTTTTCATTAATCCCACATATTTTTCTTTCTTTCCTTTAATCCCTCACATTTTCTTTCTTTTCTTTAATCCCTCATATTTTTCTTTCTTTTCATTAATCCCTTATATTTTTTTCATTTCTTTAATCCCTCTTCTTTTTCTTTTTTTCCTTTAATCCCACATCTTTTTCTTTTTCTTTAATCCCACATCTATTTCTTTCTTTTCTTTAATCACTCACCATTTCCATTCTTTTCTTTAATCTCACATCTTTTTCTTTCTTTCCATTAATCCCTCAGATTTTTCTTTCTTTTCTTTAATCACTCATATTTTTATTTCTTTCCTTTAATCCCACATCTTTTTCTTTTCTTTAATCCCACATCTTTTTCTTTCTTTCCCTTAACCCCTCATATTGTTCTTTCTTTTCTTTAATCCTTCATCTTTTTCTTTCTTTTCTTTAATCCCACAATTTTTTTCTTTAATCCCACATTTTTTTCTTTCTTTTCTTTAATCCCTCATATTTTTCTTTCTTTTTCTTTAATCATTCATCTTTTTCTGTCTTTTCCTTTAATCCAACATATTTTTCTTTCTTTTTCTTTAATCCCTCATCTTTTTCTTTCTTTTTCTTTCTTTTCTTTAATCCCTCATCTTTTTCTTTCGTTTTCTTTCTTTTCTTTAATCCCGCATCTTTTTCTTTCTTTCCTTTAGTCCCTCATCTTTTTTTTCTTTCCTTTAATCCCTCATATTTTTCTTTCTTTTTCTTTAATCCCACATCTTTTTCTTTCTTTTCTTTAATCCCTCATCTTTTTCTTTCTTTTTTTTTCACTTCTCTTTTCTTTCTTTTACTTTAATCCCTCATTTTTTTCTTTCCTTCCTTAATCCCACATCTTTGTCTTTCTTTTCTTCAATCCCTCATATTTTTGTTTCTTTTCCCCATTTCTTCTTTTTATTATTTTTTTAGGTTTCTATTATTTATTTATATTTTTCTTCATCATTTTTCTTTCAAATTCCTTCTTCCCTTTTTGTTTGCTTTTGTCTTTCCTTTTTCTTTATTATCCTTTAGTTTCATTCTTTGTTTTTTTCATTTTCCTTCATTCCTCTTTTGGTTTTTTCTTAATATTTATCCGTTTCATTCTTGACTTTTCTTTCTTTTATTTTTCTTATTCATTTCCTCTTTCCTTCTATATTTTCTCTTTATTACCCTCCTTTCTAGTTTTCGGCTCAACATATTTGAGTAAAACTAACAAATTCCTACCTTCTAAAATTTTGCTTCTGACACATTCTAGGGAAAAAAAATGTTCATCATACAGAATCAAAACGTATAGAATTAATGTCGTGTGTCGCCGTGGCAGTCGTAGTGACATTTTGAAAGAAGTGAATTAGTGAAATCTAAGGCAACACAAAACCTCTTCATATATGCAACATTTTCTCGTGTCAACCATGAGACCAACGATAATTTTTTTTAAATCACACATACGTCACGTACCACTGATAAATTCTTGTTGATATTTACATTGATAATTCTTCGATAGAAACATCTACGATAGTGAATACGCAAAACTGTAGTGCAGCTAACGAAACAACTGTAAATTCAACACCTGATAAAACTCCATCTTTAAAATGTAAGAAAAATGTGCCGAGTGTGCGCAACTGCCGTTCTTGTGTAAAATTACTGAGTGAACGCATATTAGAAAACTGTATTTTTAATAATAATCCTTTTATAATTGAGCTTGCCCCTCTCTTCGATAGTTTGCTCGACCGTTACGCCCTGCCAATATCTCATAAATAATGGACTATGCAGTTTTGATCGCGTGGAGAGAGGGGAACAAACACAATTTTTCTCAGTGAAAAAAAGAAAGAAAGAAAAAAGTGGAGAGAAAGAGAATCCGATTAAGCTGACGAGAACAGATACAACACTTTGATCTTAGCCAAAAGGCCGAGAAGCGATGTTTACTCGTTGCCCTACGAGGACGAGATGTGACACAAGGTCGTTTTAAAGTGGGGACCCAAGCGCGTGCACCCTGGGCAGGGGTCAAAAATTCTCCTCAGCCCTCGCGACCGTCGGTTGCGCTGGCCTCGGTACGAGCACCGATCCCTCCCTCTTGTGCAATGGGAGGGCGCGGCCTCGGGCAACTGTTCCCCAGGGCTGGGCACCTCTTCAGTATAATTTTCCTCAGTTGCCCCTCTGTCCTTTGACAGACAAGCCCCTGAGCGCACTCTGCTCAAAGACAGAGACGCAACTGAGAGAAGATAAGTCATCCCAATCAAAGGACCGACAAGCGAGTGCATTTTCTTACCGACCCACGTTGACAAGATGTGATACAAAGTCATATTAACATGGGGATCCCGAACCCGTACACCCGGGCCAGGTCCAAAAATAGCCCTCCTAACCGTCGATTATGCTGGCATCGGTATGGCTACCAATTCCCCCTCTTTAGTGCAATAGGAGGGGGTAAAGCAGCGTGCAGCTGTTTTCTGAGGTCGGGCATCTCTCAATAACATTTTTAATTGCGCTGTCCGTAGACAGGGACGCAACTGAATCTTTTTATAAATTCGCGTAAGTTGAAATTTTGTCTATGTCACC